TTTTGGCCGCATATTTGAGGTTTGCTTTATTGTACATTTTGTAATGATTTCGTTAATTCAGTACCGTTGCGGATCAATTGTGTTTTTAATTCGGGATTTGTATCGGTTCGGCTACGCTTCACTCAAGTGCGAATTGGTTGACGTACATCATAGTGTTCTCATAGTTTTTTTTCTGCACTTTCCAATTTTTCGCAGTGCATGCAGTACTGCACCGACCTCCCTTCCTCTCACCTCATTTCAGGTAACATTCTTGTACAAACAGGAAGCAGACTCACTCAAATTTCCCAACATCCGCCACAGTGGAGCCATATCCCTTTCCGGCTCACCGGGACGTAGGACCAGAAGAAACCTTGGAAACTACTAAGATCCTGGACCGTAAGGCCTAGCCTCGCACCCGTGTAATACTTCAAGGCTTCAAGACAAAACTGCGTGCTAACCCCGGATAGGCATCCGGTCCTCGACCTCACGGATCTCACGTCAGAAATAACCGACAAAACTGTTTTCAGACTCATCGATCTCATTTGCGCATTCAACCAAATACCGGTCGCAGAAGCCGACATCCCTAAAATATCCGTAGTCCCACCGTTTAGTCCATTCGAATTCCTCCGAATGCCATCCGGTTTAAGCAACGCCGCACAGTCCTTTCATCGTTTCATTGACAACCTTTGAAGAGGTTTAGAATCGGTTCCTATTTACTTAGACGATATTCCGGTGACTAGCTCATCGTGGGAAGAACATCTAGCACACTTTCGAGCAGTCTTTGATCGTTTGGCACAGAATGACGTCACGGTTAACGCACAGTAATGTGTTCTCCTTGCCTTCAACATTGATTTCCTCGGTCACTGCATCACAACCATTGGTATCGATCCGCTAAGTGACAAAATTCAGGAGGTAAAAGGCTACCCGGAGCCCACCACGTTTAAGCAGCTCCCACGTTTCGACGGTTTAGTCAATTTTTATCCATGTTTCATCCCTTAGTGTGCACAGCTTATGCAGCCACTGACTGATCTACTTAGGGGTAAAACAATAATGTTAGTGTTCACACAAGCCGATCGAGACGCCTTCAATGCGTTTAAATGAGCAATCATCAAAGTCGCAACATAAATACACCTAGACCCCTACGCCAGACTAGCACTCGTCACCAAT